GGAAATATTATGATTAAGGGTATTCAAGGGCGAGGTAATCGAGAGTTTTCCGCACAGCACGAGTGATCGAGTCGAGTATGCTTAAACAGTATTGTTTTATCTTCTCTGTACTCGACTGTCACCATATGACAAATAAGCACTCGACATACACGTGTATTAATGCTACTCATTCGTGCATGTAATGAGGTTTCGTCTGTCACAAATGTAGTTGGAGATTAGTTTCGTGGTTGACCTTAGAGCCACCCATGGAAATTGTATCGCGTTGATCTATTCCGTATATACGATGGAATTTATCTTCCTTCCGCCATTTATCAACTGTGTATTATTCTTAATATCAAATTGTCACGGGTGATAAACGAAATGAGTGGAAGAAGAAAAAAAATTGTCTCTTTATTATCATATTATTTATTTATTGCTAATTAATTCACGAAACACTTAGGCTGATTATCTTGCACATTTTCTCATTTTTCACTTATATCGTCGTTATTCTTGTATATTTTTTCTTCCATACATGTATTTTTTTTTGTTAATTTATGGTATTTTAATCGAAATGAATAAATAACTGATATCGTGTGTGTTCAGTAATTCATTTTTTCGCAAGTTGTACGACATCGTCAAAATGTTCACTAAATTCATTTAGGATTATTTTTAATTTTTTGTCGTAATGCGTACGAAGTATATTTTTACAGAAGGATCTTCGGTATATGAGTCTCCATTCAATAATATTTACATAAATCTTCGTTCTGTTTGCATAAATGCATCTAAAGCTGTAGTTACATTATAGCGGTTTCTAATTCGATTGCCATTGCGATTGGCAATTGCTTTTCAACCAATCAGAACAAAACAATTCCATTGCTTTACTTTGATTGATTGAAAAATAATCGCCAATCGCAATCCAATCTGCAATCCTAGCGTGATTACAGCTTAAAGCGGCTCCTAGGCGATCGATATTATATATGCACAATATTTGGTATTGCACAATATTATTGATTATCCGAAGGTTATATTAAGCCTCCGGATTGTTTGTTTTGAATTGTTTAAAGGGGGCATAATATTATATATGATAATTATACAATAATATTGAGCGTCTAAGAGCCACTTAAATCATTCGCGTTACACGATTTGATGAAAGTTCCTCCGAAACTTGGACGCGTTCCGGAACTTATTCACTACTTCGTTACACGCGAATCGTCCCGACTGAGTTCGCCAGCTAAAGTTAGCACGTGCACGGTGTGCGGAGCGAAGCCGGAGCAACGTGTCGTTCAATGCACGACCGGCGGATTTGTTTGTCGCGCGTTTCTATCGGCTTTGTGCGGCCGTTCACTGTCGCGTGATAATCCGTAGCCCTGACGTTCTCGCATGGCGCGGGGAAAACTCCCAGCTTTTTCCGCACCTTTTCCCGCTTATGCTCGATCATACCTCGATCGCGCTGCATTTGCTTCCGTCCGGCGTGACGACGCCACCTCCCGTAGCTGACTCTTGTAGTCGTAGTGTGCGTAAAACGCGATCGATGCCACTCGCCGGAGAGGATCGTGTGCCTCCAGGTGTTCTTACGAGAGTATCTTCGACGCTTATCCTACAGCCTTTAATATTGATTGCGTTCATTTTATTACCCTTAATCTTGGAAATCTAAGGAAATTTAACATTGATTGTATTTCACGAGATTTTTATGATACACGTTCTCTAAATCTTTTGGACCGAAAATTGAGCAATCTTGAAAAGAGTGAAGTTTTCACTCTTTTTTTCGAAACTGATTCAATTTTTAGTCTTTCGGAGTGAGATTTTATTCCAAAAGATTTAGAAAGCAGAAGGAACAATTTTGTGAAGTAGTTAAAAAAGGTTGATACAAATCTGTATTGAAAAACATTTCTGGTTGAAGATGAACGAATCAGAATTTTTGCTTAAATTTATTAGAATTCTAGTTGAGATAATCAGAATTGTGATTGATACAATATTTCTGGGTAAAATCTATTAGAATTCTTATTTTTATCAGAATAATTTTATCAATCAGAATTTTAATTATTCTAGTAGATTTAACCAGAAAATTCTGATTCGTCCATTTTCCAGAATTACTATTTAATCCAATCAGACCGTTTTTCTCAGTGTGAAAATAATTTTGTTGGACCATCAAAATAATTTGTAAGAAACTCAATCATGAAGAGTATTACTGCAAAAAATTTTTATATTTTAGCAATCAACTGAGCGTCCTACATAATTATTTTGATAGTCCAACAAAATTATTTTTAGATCTGTATTTAGATATGATCTAGCTGAATTTTTAGATACTTCAGCACAATCGTGTACAATTGTAGCTTATGTAGGATACTCTATTCTTTTTTTAAGATGAAATTTGTTATCGAAAACTGATAGAAGTAATTCTGATACTAGAATCAGACTATATCCATAAAGATGTCGATTCTCCTTTTTTCATCCCTGATCATCGATATTTGCTGATATCATTCTCGAGTATCGATATCACATCTTGATACTAGGTTACAAGGACAATGCTCGTGTGCGAATTAATGGGTTTTGCAACGGTGCAATCGATGTGAAATTGAAGTTATTATTCGTGCGACAAACGCTTTCACGCCTGGCTTTGTGTAAGTCCGAGAATTACACGCGGCCTTTCAGAATCCATTGCTGATGTGCGTTTCACGGGAAGCGACATGTTCTCTGTTGAACACGTCATTGCGAGACGGCCATTCAAGGAAAATCTTTGCGGATCCAGTATACGAATCAATGACTCCCACGTGTCTCTGTTTTTCCTCACGTGTCACTCCGTACGTATCGCGAGTAGACAGGCCGCTCGCGTCGATAGACAGTTTGCTTTTCCATATTACAAACACGATACTTCTCCGCATCTGTCCTCGATCTTTTCCAACAAAATGTATGTCGTCTAACGTCATTTATTTTTAAGCAGACTCTATTATATATCATATAATAAAATTCTGATCCTTTGAGGCTAATTTGAACGAAGTTAATTTACTAAATATTTAACTTCGAAGATGCGAAAAAAGGACAGTATATGCAATGAATTTTTGTTCAAAGGAAGGTTTACATTGAGCGAAAAATTGAGAACTAATAGAACACGGAAAGAACAATTTTGCTGAAATATTTAAAAATTCAGCTAGATACAAATCTTGAAATAACTTTATTTGGACCATCAAAATGATTACGTAGAAATCTCAAGCATGATAAGCAATGCTGTAAAAAGTTTATCATTCAAGCAACTAGTTCGAGCACCCTACATAATTATTTTGATGATTCAACAAGATTATTTTCTGTATCTAGCTAAATTTCTAGGTATTACAGCAAAAATATCCTTTCCATGAAAATATAATGAATCTGAAACATCAACATACATAACTGATATATGAAAAGAATGATTTTGTTGATGTATTTACAAAATTAATTATCAGAGCTGAAAATAATTTTGTTGGACTATCAAAATAATTGTGTAGGACGTTCAAACTTGATGATAATGCTGCAAAAAGTGTTGACGTCCTAAACCTTAAATTAGTTCAAGCGTTTTACATAATTATTTTGATGGGAACAAAATTATTTTTAGATTTTTATTTTGCTAAAATTTTAGAATCTTCAACAAAATTATTCTTTCTGAGTACATACCGGTGTTCCTATGTTCGGTTTTCTAATAGCGAATTCAGTTGGACGCAGTTGGATGCACTGGTACACATTTACACATTTAAACTGTACACTGATCTAATCTGAGTAAAGATGAAATACCTCAAATGATAAAATACCCAATATATATTTTACTAAACATCACTAAACTATATAGAGATTTCGCGATTTAACCCGTTTATATATTTTTTTTAAACATACATCTTTACGTTGATTTGTATATGACAGCTTTAATGTGCACGAGCGTGCACTAGTGCGTCTAACTGAAATCGCTATTAGGCAAGATGTCTTACGAGGTTCTGCCTTTTCCCAATGTGTAAATATTTATACAACGATGCTATTAGAATTCACAGAGACGCATGATCGCCCACACACCCAATTTCTAGACGTTAATGAACGCTCGAAAGAGTAATCGACCTCGTGGATTAAACTAGATCGGGGATTCTCTTCTTATGTATGATAAAAATATCTGACCTTTTGGCGCGTAACAGCGAATTCATTTCATCAACATTATTCAAATAATCATTAATATTCAAATAATCGTTAATATTCAAATAATCGTTAATATTCAAATAATTGTTAAAATTCTTGAGTTTTGCTTACGACTCTGTTTTAGACCTCAACTATTTTGAAGGTCATCTTTATATTAATTTAGTTAATTTATTATTTTTTAATGCTTTCGAAATAGTTTTTAAAATAATTGCCTATTGAGTTTTCCCGATGGACGTTCGATCTCTTGGAGAAGCCGGTATTATAACGTGTATAATATTTTAAGCGAAATTCGATAATATTGAACAAACCTCGACAAAACTTCGATCCATTTCGCATTAGCGAGAGAACTTCTATAACGTCTATTATAAATCTTTCCAGCATTCAAAAACTGTCACCTGCACGTTTAACTCAACCACTATATAGATATCCCCCTAGGTACGCCTATTTTGCACGTCAAATTCGTTTTCGTGGTTTCCTTCAATTTGTTCGCGTCAAATTATGGGATTCTCCACTCTTGGCATTTCTGTATAATTTCAACTAGGACACCTTAAAGCGGATCCTTCACAGCGTTTAAATACTTTGGATTGAACAATAATTTTTATATGTACTTATAAAGTATGTATTCACTGTTTAATTTTTAAAAAATTTAAATTATTTTCCACAGTAATTTAAATATTTGCATTTGATAATTATGAAGTTATTTAAAGTTAATTGCTAAGCTTTTCTATTTTAAAATCCTATGAGAAGTGTACTTTTTGCAGCAATCATTGTTATTTAAAATAATACTGATTTACATTTCTGCGCGAATTTTATTATTCGATATATAGATGAGGCGATATTTTAATGTTTTCCTTTTTATGTTACAGAATTGCCAGCTGAGGAGGGTGAGTACCAACGAACTATCGTCTCTTAACGTCTTGATGTAGAAAACAGGTTTGCGACAAATTGGCATACAAATTATTTTTGATGTAGCAAGGCAAGTTTGTAAATCGGGGAACTCATTTTTTTTTTCCTTACACCTCGTTTTTATATCGAGCTGACTTTGTCAGCGTTGTATTAGGTGCTAATTTATAATTTATAAGTCTCCGAATTTCTCTTCTCGCCTGTCTCGATAAACGTTGGTCGTTTGTAGGGAAGATTTTCGCCACGTGTTTGCTGTCAAAGTAGGTCAGCACACTTGCTCTTGGAATTCCATAAGCTTTGAGAATTAGCATCGCTACGTTGTATGCACTTACAAATGCGACACATTGCCGTCAATTTGATCTGCCGCTCGCAAAATCGTTTTTGCAACTTCGGAAAATCCTCGGGATTATTCAGGAACTTTACGATGTCAATTAATCAAAACAAAAGGTGTGAAAAAAAGGTACGAAAGACGAATGTTCATGGAATGAGTATACCCATTCTTTATATATTATAGAAGAATAAAATATAAGAAATATGATAAATACGGAATATAAATATTCAATACTTTTAAAAATACAATAAGAAAATAAATATTCATTATACTTTTTATGATAAATGCTTTTTATATATTCGAGCTCTTTGAACGTAACGTCAAGCATAGATCTTTCCAGCTTGCATTTTCTCATCGTTTTTTGATCTCTTTGGTAAATGTCTCTTTCTAACTTTATATATCTCTCTTCTATAATTAAAAATCTGTAAATAATAAATCTAATCTGATACAATAACAAAAAATCTCCAATAAAATGTTCTTTTTCCGAGACTTATCTACTAATAAAGGATTATAGGAAGACATCAGGTGCGTACAGTCTGCAAAAAGTAACTAAAATTGAAAATTTGTACTTTCCGTATAAAAATAAATACATTACATATGAAACGGTTTAATAAAAAGTCAATAATTGTCTTTAACGATGCAATTTTATAGTTTAAATGAAAATTTTCTCGTTTTATCTTAATATATTATTTTTCAAAAATATGTCTACTCATTGAAATAATTTTTTATCCAAATACTAAATCGCGGCCAAACTTTGTATATTTAACTTTTTGTATATAATTTTTTTGTTTATAACTTCTGATACAGTGTAGAAAAATTTGTATTTTTTTTTTCATTTTGTTACAAAATACGTGTAATCCTTAAGGAGATAGCAGCAAAGATAAAGTATTTGACGAAACGTTCTATAGATATAAAATAACGTATCGACAAAAGGAAATGTAGGAAAGGTATATTGCACGACTGTCACGGGAGACTTGCAGGATCCAGGGAATACCCGGACCTTTTACCCCATTTGTCGAAAGACGTCAGCGCATAGCACCGTACGTCGTCTTCGACTCGTAATTGCATCGGTATTGCACTCGACCCGCACAGAAACTCGCGCTATCTTTCCGTCGACCTTCGGCGATGAATCGACCCGCCGTAGTCGCAGCTCTCGTTCGGCGTTATCGTTCATGACGCGGTATAACTAGAATAAAAAAAAAAAGAATGAGAATCGAGAGAAAAATTTTCACATTTTCCGAAAATGCGTCCTGGATTGCATCAAACTGCAGAAATTGACTTCGATAAGTCGGAGTCAAATTGGTTTGAAAGCGTGACAGCTGACGTTGACGATTAGATCGATTGCAGGCGTGGAATTTGTATCGCTACTACGTATGCGTGTATGCATTTCAATATATAATAGATTCCGCTGAAAAGCAATTACGTGAAAATTAGATCGACCCTGCCGCGCGCTATTAAAACGCGAAGCTTAATACATTAATCAGTGAGATCGAGCCTGCAAATAATAAATGTTTTCGGCTTTATCGAAGATAAATAGACGATAAGATATAGCCAACGGCGTTATTGAATTAATACCGTTTGAAGGCAATAATATCCAAATTCCACTGAGTTTTTCGACTTATTCTGATAATGTATAAAAGTTTTTTTTTACCTTACAATAAGAGACGTGCTTTTCATTACGACTTTTTGCGAAGCTCCTATGGGAGTAATTTTCTTTACACACAAATGAACAGAGCTATAGACATCGTTCCTTTACAAGCTCAAAATTGCCGTCATTTGAATGAGTTCTCTTGATTTCGTGGTAATTAGCATTACTTGACAAATTTGACTATCTAAAAAATTATATTCAATGTTTTTGCACTGAAAGAAAATTTTCGGTATTTATGGTTATAATTATGTATTACTATAATTATAGTTATTACTGTTGTGTTAAAACGTTAGTAGAAGGTCACCGATACTAACATACCACTTTGTTTTTGGACAATATTTTTTAAACAAAAGTTAAAGAAAAAACACAAATATATATATAAAGTAAAAAATATCTTCTATCAAGTAATATAGCAGTTTTTGTAATAGGTACTGTTTGCAATTATGCTATAATTAACTTTTTTTATAAGATAATCAAAAATAAGTGTTTAACAAAATGGGCTTCAAAACTGACACAGTAATGTCACATATTCCTATCCTTTTTCTGTAATAGGAATCATCTGTACAAAATACTTACAATGAATGTACATAAGATTTTCTATAGATTCTTTTTATTTCGATATAAATTATTTTTTGTTTATTTATATGCATACCTTATGCTATTCTGTAAGACGCAATTTCTATTTTTGAGGGTTTTCCCATAAATATACGATTGCTTTCAGCTCTGATAGGGCTATTTCGTGCTATAATACAACACTATAAATAAAAGTTAGCTTATGAGCTATCTTACAGACAGATGCACCTGTCTTTCATGCTACACTAAGATTTTATATTTAAAACCGAAAAAATAAGAAAGAAGAAAATATAAATAAAATTGATTTAAAAATATGTAAAACGATGTAATATTATCAATAATATTATCACTATTATTTAAATTACGCACTTCGCAAAAGAAAATCGTAAGAATTTTATTTTTGCATTTATAGAATTCGTTTTTAGCTGATTTTGTATGGAAACAAATATATAAATTATGAATTTTTACTTCTCTAATTATCTAAATAAATCATGTTTTTATCTCTATATAAAATTTAATAGTTAGTTTTTTGAGGAATAAGGGAGTGTCTCTTCAGGATACCTATATCAATATCGGCGACTTTCCTTTAATAACTATATATACTTTTATTAACAAATATATATATATCTAGTTAGTACTGAATATGACAAATTATAGTTATTACCGTAAAAATGGTCGCAATTGCTATAAATTATGGTAACATATAATTACAGTCATCAAAAACTTTTCTCTCAGTGTGGCTAACAACAAATTGCAGTGATCTTTTCCGAAACCTATTTACTTGATGAATTTGAACGACGTACGAATAATTCGCGCAATTCGAGCAATTAGAATAAAAGAAAGAGGAATACATAATAGGCGCACTTCTCCCTTCCTTGGAATCGAGTCGAAGTCAGACACGCAATATTTTATTGTTTCACCGTTATTATCGCACTTTATATAATCCTGAAACGCGTCGGAGGAGAGCGCGATCAAGGTCGTATTAATGAGATTCCTGTCGTAAATTAATCGTGCGGCCGGTTACGAACGCACAACTGCCTGTAATCGTTGCCGCGCTCTGTCCGTCATACATGTGCCCGCGGTCTCTCTGTGCACGCCACGCTCTATCGGCCGATTGACAACGTCTATTGTCACACGCTGAATCCGGTAATGAAGCATGTTACACGTATGCACGTGGGTGAGAGCAAGAAGGGAGGAGGGGGACGTGGAGAAATGTGCGCTGGTCCGCAGCACTATACAGCACGTCATACCACGATATTAATTTCTGAGACGCGGCGGAATGTGCACTGCGATATTACGTACAATTTATGTAACGAAATGCATACGTGTAACGTTATTTGCGTTAAACCGGAAGGCATACCGTGTATTAAAAGTGATCTTAATATACTGTATTAATGCAATTAATGTATGTATAGGAACTATATGCATATGTAATTTACATAATTAGCAGAATTAAGAGGGGCACCTCATGTATCGTGCTGAAAATAATGTAATTTTTCGGAATTTTTTAATAGGAGACTATATATGATAAATTCTTTTGAAATTTTCAGGATACGTTATTGTAATATTGAACTACTAAAAAAATATTTTTTTGATAGAAAAACAATGTGAATTTTATATTTATAATAATTTAATTTTGGTTCGTCGGCGTTGACGGCGTGCAATGTAACGCTGCTTATATTCATCCGAAACAAAAAAAACAAAAACGATTTCTTTTTTAAGGTTTACGTTATTAATTGAACTTATTTTTAAAGAGAATAATATCAAATTATAAAAATGGCGACACTTAGAAGAAAAAATTTCGATTTTTACGGAAACTTTCGTGTTAATTATGTAATAAAAGTAATTTATTTAAACAATTTATTTATACACACAACACACACAAACAACAACACAAATGTCAATTTGATACTATATAGTGTCAAATTGACACAATATAGTATCAAATTTAACTATTGTTTTGGTAAAAAATAATGATATATTTAGGAGCAGTGGCGACTCGCGTTAAGTTAAATTTGACACTATAAATTTAACAGTGTATAGCCACTATTGTTTAATTTACGCAGTTTGCAAAAGAAAATCGTAAGAATTTTATTTTCGTATTTGTAGAATTTATATTTAACTGATTGTTGGTATTTTTAGTCAGTTATGTCAATGCAACAACATGCAGATGTTCAACTTAAAATATTTTGGTAATACAAGTGCCTAACTCGTTAATTTTTATGTTGATTATGTATCATTCATTATTCGATTACGAATGAATTTCAATGTAAAGATGCAGCTATTTCTGTTTATTACTTAATTGTTTAATTAAACGTTTGAAAAAGTCCTTGGAAATTATGTATAAATTATTTCTTTATTGCTGTTTTTCTCTTCTGACTAGCAAATGGTTTGATGCAATTTGTAATTGTTCCTAATGAAATACATTTTATTTATTATTACTTAATCTAATTTTGTTAAAAATCAACTATTGTTGTCTAATCTTTTACATAAAAAATGTTAAGCTTTATTACTGTAAAAACTATTATCTTACCATCGAAGCTTCGTTACTTTGTTGTTTGCAATCTCCATAAAATTCGTTAAAGAAGAAGAAAAAACGTGTGATCTAATTCGCTAAAAGGAAAATGGGGAAAAATGGAATGGAGAAAGGGAGTGATACTTATATAATTGCCAGATAATCGAATTTTCGCACATCTCTTTGACGCCTGCTGTAAATTACAATTAATGAAATCATCAAGCGTGGAGCAATGACGTCAATCGCGTGCAAGCAAAAGGCGCCAGCCATCAAGGACGCCCAGGGCTTGCCCCTGACTAGTTTATAATTTTTATCCTTTCTTGACGCATATTGTAGAATGTGTCTTCGACGGTGTGTCGACACGTACAAATGAGTACCTGCTTACGAAAATGTTTCCTTATGACATCAAATTAACTCCTCGTGTATACGAAGCATATGTTGCTTTCGATTAAACTAGAACCTTTAGCACGTTCCGTTTAAATGACAATGTCACATTGGAAATGCAATTTGCTAAATTTTTCAATTGCTTTAGTAATTTGGATTTAAAAAGAAACAACTCTGTAATTATTGCATAAAAAATAATGCTTGATCTGAACTTACGACGTTTATGACATTAAGATTTATGTGAAATATATTTATTATTAAATATATTTTTATTGTAGTGCAAGGTAAGAGACACGTAACAGTTTTTCTTACAATTTTACCACAACAAATCTTTTTCCTTAATAAGAATTATAATATCACAGTGGTTTTATGATTCTTATTTAATAAAGAAAAATCATAATACCACAGTGGTTTTATGATTTTTACTTAATAAGTAAGAATCATAAAATTGTGGTAAAATTGCAAGAAAAACTGTTACAAAATATTTTTTCCTGAGACATAAAGCCTTGTCAATGAGACATACTATTTGCGAACGCACGTTATGTTGCTAGTAATAATGCAAGGTCACGTAACAATGAGGTATTGTTGATAATTGTATTCAGTATTGATTTCATCATTGTACACTACTTATATACTATGTTTAATGTATTTTAATATATATGTTTTTAAAGTAGATTTACTGTTTTTTGTTAAGAACTAGCATCGATATATTCATATAATTATATGTTAAATTGAGTATTTGTACTATTTTTACTTTAAAAAATTAAGTGCATGTTGAGATAGAGTTCTACAATTTATAATTTTTTTTTAAGTTTTATGCCAATTTGTCGCAATAATTATCACGTCAGGTGTTAGAATAGTATTAAAACTACTATTTATGAAATTAAATTTTGAATGAGTAAGAATTACGAGACATATTATTATACTGTAACAAAAATTCACTTTTTCTTTAAATCTTTCCTTATTTCATGCATTGCGCAAGATTGTTGACAGTACTTAATTTATTTCTCGCTTACAGGAAAATCCATCTGGCAACTCGTCCTGGAACAGTTCGATGACCTTCTAGTTAAGATTCTTCTATTAGCTGCTATTATTTCTTTTGTAAGTATAAGACATCATAGAGAGATATATATTAAAAAATTATAAATAAAATTTTATTTAAAGTTTAAATTTTAAATTAGACAGAAATTTGCGTAACAAATAAACTTCTTCTGACATAAATACGTATTTGAAAAAAGTTAAATCTAAAAAAAAAATGTAAATTAAGTCTGTTTAATATACATGGTTGGTATTATCATTAGTAATTACGATTCATAACCTAAAGACTTTCATGATTCAATCTTTCATAGAAACTATAATGTTAAATGTTCAAGATATTTTTTTTCTTGTCGAATTTTCCGGTGCATGGTGCTTCGTTAAAAGCACTGTAATTATATGTTTACGGGGGTTCAAGGGTAAATGAGGCTAAATATATCTTTTATGAGAGGTGAAAAAATAGCATATTGATTTCAAGTAGCTGTGGTGATCTGATTTTCTCTGAGCGCATAAGAGAAATGTGTAACATTCACTATGGAGTTTGATCTATAAATTACAGAAATTAAGTATATAATTCATCACTACGTTAGATGTAATAGCTTATAGAGAAAAGAAATTTTTTGGCACCGTGTATATGTCTTAGAAAATTTATCTTTGATCTTCTAACATGTATTTTTATATATTTAACATACATACGTTTGTATTTTTTGAAATATATTAGCTGACATCGCTGTGGTGGCGAAGAGAGAAAACTGCTTAATATTTTCTTAATTTTAAATATTTGCTCTTTCTGAGAGCTCATTTTCTATGGAATTTTAATTTGTAGCTAAATTGTTATTTAAAAACGACATGTGAACAAAAAGATGTGCAATTATTCAATAATTTGCTGAGAAACATAAACATATACTCTTTATTCGCTATTTTTTAAGTCTCTCTGATCTAGTATCTATTTCTCGTCAGGTATTAGCCTTATTTGAAGAGCACGAGGATGCGTTCACGGCCTTCGTCGAACCCTTTGTCATCCTGCTTATCCTTATCGCCAATGCCGTGGTCGGTGTCTGGCAAGAACGAAATGCCGAGTCTGCGATTGAGGCGCTCAAGGAATACGAACCCGAGATGGGTAAAGTTGTACGAGGGGACAAATCTGGTGTTCAGAGGATTCGGGCCAAAGAGATCGTGCCCGGCGATATTGTAGAAATATCAGTCGGCGACAAGATCCCAGCTGATATCCGTCTGTCCAAAATCTTTTCGACTACCCTCAGGATCGATCAGTCGATTCTAACTGGGGAATCGGTGTCCGTGATCAAGCACACCGACCCTGTGGCCGACCCACGCGCTGTCAATCAGGTAAAGCAACTGTATAAAAACATTTCCAATACTTTTTCTAACACCATCTCTCAAGTATCAACAGTATAACTTCGAAAGTTCATATTCGAAAAAAATTGTAAATGTATAAAAACTTTTATTCGTAAGATTTTCGAAGTTCGTTCATGTGATTACTTGATCATGCAACTCTTGACAACGTTTGTTCATAAATTTTGTTTTGCTATTTTTTTATATAGGATAAGAAGAACATCTTGTTCTCTGGTACCAACGTCGCCGCTGGAAAAGCTCGCGGTGTCGTTATTGGAACCGGCTTAAACACGGCCATCGGTAAGATCCGTACGGAGATGTCGGAGACCGAGGAAATCAAGACACCGTTGCAGCAGAAATTGGATGAGTTCGGCGAGCAATTGTCGAAAGTTATTTCCGTAATTTGCGTTGCTGTATGGGCCATCAATATTGGCCATTTCAACGATCCAGCTCACGGTGGTTCTTGGATTAAGGGTGCCATTTACTATTTTAAAATTGCTGTCGCTCTCGCTGTAGCCGCTATTCCTGAAGGCTTGCCCGCTGTAATCACAACTTGCTTAGCTCTGGGTACCAGGCGTATGGCCAAAAAGAACGCCATTGTACGATCTTTGCCATCCGTAGAGACTCTGGGTTGTACATCCGTCATTTGCTCCGATAAAACTGGCACTCTGACGACTAACCAGATGTCCGTTAGCCGGTAAGATGATTAAGTAAACAGGATTATGTATTATGACATAGATTTCACTTATAAATTTTTAATAAAGTAACACGAAATACGAAAATTTTCTTTTTTTTCTTAGTTTTATATATTTAAATAAAAATATTAGTTTATAATTTTTTAAATATTTTAACATTTATAGAATGTTCATCTTTGACAAGATTGAGGGTAATGATAGCAGCTTCCATGAATTCGAAATCACCGGCTCGACTTATGAACCCATCGGTGAGGTCTTCTTGAGAGGTCAGAAAATTAGAGGACAAGATTATGAAACATTGCACGAGATCAGTACAATCTGCATCATGTGCAACGATTCTGCTATCGACTTTAACGAGTTCAAACAGGCATTCGAGAAGGTCGGTGAGGCTACAGAGACCGCTTTGATCGTTCTCGCCGAGAAAATCAATCCGTTTGGTGTCCCAAAAAGCGGTTTGGATCGCCGAGCTGGCGCTATTATCGTCAGGCAGGATATGGAAACAAAGTGGAAGAAGGAATTCACGCTAGAGTTCTCTCGTGATCGCAAGTCCATGTCATCGTACTGCGTGCCTCTGAAATCATCGAAACTAGGAACTGGACCGAAATTATTCGTCAAGGGTGCGACGGAAGGTGTATTGGACAGGTGCACACATTGCCGCGTCGGTGGTCAAAAGATTCCTCTGACTTCGACCCTGAAAAACCGCATTCTGGATTTGACCCGCCAATATGGAACTGGTAGGGATACCTTGCGCTGCCTTGCTCTCGCCACCGCTGATCACCCGATGAAGCCTGACGATATGGATCTGGGCGACTCCACTAAATTCTACACATACGAAAAAGATCTCACATTTATTGGTGTGGTGGGCATGCTCGATCCACCTCGCAAAGAAGTATTTGATTCGATTGCTAGGTGCCGCGCTGCTGGCATTCGCGTAATCGTTATCACCGGCGATAACAAAGCTACTGCCGAAGCCATTTGCCGACGTATTGGAGTCTTCGGTGAGGATGAAGACACCACCGGCAAGTCATATTCCGGACGTGAATTTGATGATCTGCCGACATCAGAACAGAAAGCGGCTTGCGCCAGAGCTCGCCTCTTCTCTCGCGTAGAACCGGCTCATAAGTCAAAGATCGTGGAATTCTTACAAGGCATGAATGAAATTTCTGCTATGGTAAGTCAGATTTTTCTACTCATTCGTTATCATCATAAATAATGCTATTGAATCCAGTCTATTGAATCGATTTGAATATTAACTCCCTCTTGATTTTGTTACAGTTGCAATTTTGAAAACGGCTTGTAAACCCTTTGCTTACTTTTCAGAAGAATAATTGGACTGCGATTTGTTTATCCCTAATTAGCTTAAGATTTATTATATGTTTTGAATACTTTATTTCTATCACAGTAAAATATATTTTCTACTCAAAATTCTTAATATCATACGCAAGATGGCAATTCTTGAAATCGAAGCCGAATTTTCTGTTTGACAATTATTTTAGACAGCACTAAACTATTCAACATCATATTAGCCTAACATTAATTAATGTAAAACAAATATTTGTCATTTAAAAGAGTATTTAAAAGAAATTACAAAATTTTGTGTCATTTTACTTCTACAGACTGGTGATGGTGTGAATGATGCTCCTGCCTTGAAGAAGGCTGAGATCGGTATCGCTATGGGCTCTGGTACCGCAGTCGCGAAATCGGCTTCAGAGATGGTGTTGGCAGACGACAATTTCTCTTCCATCGTAGCTGCTGTAGAGGAAGGCCGTGCCATCTATAATAACATGAAACAATTTATCCGTTACCTCATTTCTTCCAACATCGGCGAAGTCGTCAGGTATTTACGAGATATATGAGTATAGTGAGGAGTTAAGATTGAATTATTATCCGTATGTTACTTTACAGTATATTCTTGACCGCCGCTCTTGGTCTTCCCGAAGCACTGATTCCGGTCCAACTTCTGTGGGTCAACTTGGTCACTGATGGTCTTCCAGCTACTGCTCTCGGTTTCAATCCACCCGATTTGGACATTATGAGCAAGGTAATGTAACAATTAAAGAGATGTACTACTGCCATACATCAAATGCAAGCTTTAGTAACTCATGCATTTTTTATAGCCTCCTCGCAAAGCTGACGAATCCCTGATTTCTGGATGGTTGTTTTTCCGTTACCTGGCTATTGGTGGATATGTAGGCGCTGCCACCGTTGGTTCAGCTGCTTGGTGGTTCATGTACAGTCCAAATGGCCCTCAAATGAATTACTATCAAGTTGTAAGTTTTGACAAGAATTTGGATTGTTTATATTTAGAATTATCTAAAGATTTGAATAATTATTCTCTAATTAACGTTCATCATTTGCACAATATAGACTCACCACTTGGCATGTATTGGCGGTGGAAACGAATTCAAGGGTATTAATTGCAAGATATTTGCTGATCCTCATCCCATGACTATGGCTCTCTCTGTATTGGTCACCATTGAAATGTTAAATGCCATGAACAGGTGAAAAAACACTTGTAACCTATTTTGTATAAGAATTGTTTCAGAACTATATAATAAATTTATATATTTCTCTATAGCTTGTCTGAGAATCAGTCGCTCATCTCCATGCCGCCTTGGTCCAACATGTGGCTCATTGCATCCATGGCTCTTTCTTTCACACTCCATTTTGTCATCTTGTACGTCGATGTTCTTTCGGTAAGTAAATATTTACATCAAGATTGTAGAAGCGAATGATTAAAGAATTTTACTATTTGAATTTGTAGAGCAAAAGTTGTAAGCACTGTTAACTGTTTTGTTTCAGTCCGTATTCCAAGTGACCCCACTAACGTTTGAAGAATGGGTTACCGTTATGAAGTTCTCCATTCCAGTGGTACTTCTCGACGAAACCTTGAAGTTCGTTGCCAGAAAGATCACAGACGGTGAGAATCCAATTTACACCGTGCATTGGATCGTTCTAATGTGGGCTGTGTTCTTTGGACTGTTGCATATCTGTCCCATATAGAACGTCCGTGAAATAATAATATTAGTCTAGCAGACGATGTTTTTTTCCTATGGAAAAGCATCCGCGACTAAATCCTTGGACTCGCAATTGCATTTAACCGAAGCTCTTCCCACCGTGACGCGGGAAGGCGCGAGATAAGTTATTAACAGAGTGCGTTCAAGTGAGATTTTAACAAATTTGACTGTTGTGCATGGTGTTAGTACGATCATATATGAAATATGCCACCAAGGCCCACCATGCCCGCATTACACACCGTACCCTGACGTCGCTCAACGATCACGGGTTTCGAGTGGCATCGAGTGATCTAAGAGAGACCCCGTCGTAAATCAAAGATTGTGATCGTTAAATTATTTTCTACGAGTGCCTTTTGAACATTGAATTTCCTCTGCAACAAACACGAAAACTGTTCATAGATGTTCTTTCCGATATAGATATTTCCGATATGTTCGACGATCCAATCCTCCTCCTTTTTTTGCACTATTATTTATACTTTTTTTTTAATCTTGTGCACGTTTCGATATGATTAGCAACAGATAAATTATTTGGTAATTGTAGCAGATCCTGATAATGCACTAACACAATTAAAATTTACATTAATTTACGAATGTCTTCCATCTGTGTTTCTTGCCGATTAATAATGTTACAACATAAACTTTTATATCTTTGCATGTTCGAAGCGTATTATTGATCTTGATCGATTTGAAAAGTACAAAGTAGTTTACCCGCTAACCATATCGGGGATAGTAACTTCGGTTTCGGCGCAAACAAATACATTTGCGACGTATCATTTTTGTAGAATAATACGCACGTTTACACAACGAAGACAATAAAACATTCGGCAGAAATACAGATTGAACGGACATTAGTAGTAGTAGTAGTAGTAGTAGTATTATATTTGTCTCCTGATTTTATTTTCAGGCTCAGTTTAATGCACGCACGCAACAAATTAGCACAACATTCGGTTAACGCGATTAATGTATAATCTCACTAAATCTGTTTACATTTACATTTCTTTTCTGTTGCTTTCAATGTTGCTTGTTATAAATATTTATTAATCAATTCTTAGCATCTGGTGTGCCCGTTTCTACTCTGAAGTCAGAACTGGAGCTGTCTGAGCGTTTGCTGAAATTTCAAGGAAATGCGTGGACTTCGCACTAACGGATCTCATTTTGTATCCTGCATACCGTGTCTTCCTTCCTATAGAGATAATGCATGCACGGTATAATTAACAGCACGTTTTGTAAGATCCTTTCTTATAATCTATTCTTTTCAATTATACTGACCTCTGCTGTGCCATGCGATCAATCGATTAATTTAACTTTGCGCGTCCTTCATATTCATGTTAATATATATTCTTAACAATTAAACAAAATGGAAAAGTTTATTTTTACCGGATGATGTTTTTGCGTGTTATTCTCTTATTGAGATTTTTCGTCTGTAACGAATGCAATAAACGTGAAATAAGATTTTGTAAATATCTACATAATCAATATTCTTTTAGATTAGAGATAGATGATAGAATGAAACAGATTGTCACAAAATTAGCGAGGATCGCGATTGGCACAGCAGAATTTCTTCTAATTTTTCTTTGGTACGCGAACACAACATCTATTCCCTATGTATGTATATAATCCGTATGTGTGATTTATGCATTTGAAAGGTTTACGCAATACAACAGATTCGCGTATCGCTAATTTCCGGATATGGACTGCAAAGGCTCGTAAGTGTAAGATAAGGCAATCGTTAAGCAGAGGAAAAACAGTTGACCTTCATTACCTCTCTCGTACGCTCGAAACTGACGGGGCAGTCCATAGAATTTCTAGTGCGTTCGTTCATGTCAATATCTGAGCAGTGTTCCGAACGCATATACACTCATCGTCGGGATTGATTATCCATTTTTATCAATGATAATATTGAATATCTACAATTAATTATAGAATCAATTAAACGACGCGTAGATTTTTTTTAAAATAAATTTGTCGTTAAGAATGATACTTAGTGATAGTTAGGCGTATCTATTTTTTATTTCTGGCTCCCGAAAATCTTTTCATATTTAGTTTATTTTTCAAATGCGTAGAAGAATCCTAGTTTGCTTTTGATATAGTCCTTAAATAAATTATTTAAAATGTTTAAAAATATTTAGGATATGCGTAACCAACCTAATTTGTTAAATTAAGTTATTAAAATCGAAAGAGTTGAGCAAAACCATCATTCTTTCAAGCAATGAAGTAACCCGACAGTTGCATGCTAAACGCATAGTAAAAGAAACTTTGACTAATGGCTTTTTCTTGTATAAAATTTTCTTAGGGATCGGCGATAATTCTGCTTCATTGAATCGTAATAGTTTTAATAATAAAAAGTTACTCGTTTCATGTAAGTTCGAGCTTTCCCATTTTTTCACTTCCAATGTCTCAGATGATCGCCGATTCTCCAAATTTTTGCATTGAGAGTAAACTTAGTCCCTAATTAGTCGAGGAATTTCTCGATCGAGTGAACGCGAATTCGGTCACTGCCACATAACGAAACGAATAATCGGTGTCGTCACGAGTACGTGGGCCTTCGAAACATCTGGCTGCTTAGTCAGTTCATCCCTTAGAGCGTATCCTGTCGGTGGAAGCGACCGCTAATCAAGGAAGGAAGACTGAAATCGATTAAGTGCTAATAAAGACGGCAACTTCTCGATTCTTTCTTTCCCCGTTTGCTGACGTAAACCCGTCTCTTACGAAACGATATTTCTAGCTTCGCTCGCTACATTCGATTAGAAAAGAAAGCAATCGACAAGAGAGGGCAAATAGCAATACCGTGTCGTAAATGGTGGATTTAAGTGGTTCATTTCCATCGGCAGCTCACGATCCAAGGTGTCATCCAGATCTTCGCAGAGATCGCCGTAATTTCGGCCGTTCGCGATTCGGCGCGCGAGACGCAGCGCGCGAGACGCTTCTCCGCAAACACGTGCAAACGCAACAAGACTGACGATGTGTTCCGGAGAAGAGCGGACGCGTCCGCTGCGTTTTCTTTCTTTTTTTTCCTTCTTCGGCGCGCGACGCATAATAATTTAATTGCGCCGCATCTGGCGATTCAGGAACCGGCCGCGGTCGCGCGGCGCGACATTGTAATATAATTAATTAATTAATTAGTTAACGGTTAAGGCGTGATACTTTGGTATGGGCATAATTAAAACTTAATCAGACCGAACGAGTTAGCGCTGCCGCACTAACGAACTTGTGTCTCGAGTAGTGTTTTGTTCCGCAGTTTAATTTTTAGCACGAGATAAAACTACCGGCTTTTGCGTCCTCTGCGATCGATACCTGTGCGATATTTGTCCTCAATGTCACTTGAAGGAAGATCCATTCGCGTGGATGAATCCTACAATTCGCAGCGGGATAAAAATCGTCGAGAAGCATACGTAATATTTAATTGTCGCACGTAAAAGAGATCTGTTCTCACAATTGTATATCTATATCTGATAAAAATGTTGACCCTAATTAGTATTCGGATTGGATATTTTCTTTAACTGTGTTGTGAAAAGTTATTTTAACAAATATTTTTTCAAATCTTACATAATTTTGCACAATTTTGTTCCTCGGATTTTACTCTTCAATATGAACAAAAAATCGTTCAATTACGTTGATTTTAAGCAAAGATATATAAAGTACACTGGATCCACGAATATCAGTTCAGGAAATTTCGGAGCCAATATCGATTAGGGTTAAACTGCGATTTTTTATATTCTCCGAATCCCGAGGCTTCCTGTGTAATACTTGCCATTATCATGTTCACCCATCGTGGCGCAGAACAATGGATAATGTGCTCATTCGGATGTTCGGACACGCGAGTAATTGGCACGTGTTATCGGAGCACAGGTACGAGCGCGGGGATCAATGCCGGTGCGAAGAGTCTAATGCAGTTCTCTATGACGCTCAATAAGTTTGACGAAATTAATCGGGGAGCACGGATACAGGGGCGACCTAAGTGACGGATCTCGAAAATCGTGCGAATTTCAATTTTTTGCGTCCCACACAGCACAAACTTCCAAAGAATGTCCTAAAGACGTCCGTATGTCTTTCAAACGTCCTAAGGCGACCCAGAACGTCTTTCGGATAAAGTAATGCTGTGTGAGAGTAAATCGTTGAATTTTTAAAGTCTGACAAATATGAGGATATACGTCAACGGAATGATACATTCTTCATCTTCTTTCATTTTTGAAATGTATGTCAATGGAATGATATATTCCTAATCCTCTCTCATTTCTTGATCCTCCAATGATTGAATAGAGATGATTTGTCATTAAATTTAAGAAACAATACTTTCCTTTTCGTTAATGTATTACATACTCGTACGATTTTTTCGGGATTCGTCGCTTATTGTTCCCTCGCATCCGGATTCCTAACTTCGTCCACGATGTATCTGTAAGTACTTGGAGTGTGCATTGTATTTTATGTTGACCGAGAATGACGGGGTAGTGCCATCACGACGAAAGTATACTGCGCGACGTCACGCAAATATCAATGCGATAGATTGATTAAAAAGTTACAATCCTAGCTTCATTAACATATATTTCACATAACGCTATTATAAAAAGAAGGAACGATTTATATTTATTATTATATTCTCTTCGTATATTATATTTGTTAATTATAATTTATTAATTGTCAAAACGTATGTGTGCCGAGAGTTAATTAGCCCATCTCGGTAGATATTTCTCGTTGATCCTTGTGTGACGTTGACAACCAAAACGCGGTGTCGAGCGATGATGAGACTACGATCGCGTCGTTTCCTTCAGGAAGTACCTATTTCTCTAACGATAACGAAGTTAATATTAATATTAATAACTTATGGAATACTATGACATCGAGTGATTTCGAGTATATACACTCGCCGCGGACGCGCTCCGCGGCGAAAGATAGTCGAGAATATAATTCCGGGTGTGAATTATATATCAGATTTCGTAGAGAGACGGAGAAATATAAAAATATAGAAGGATTAAAGAGAAATTGTATACACGAATCCGACTGTTGCGCGTGTTACGATCAAGTCTATGCATATACGATAAGTACAATTACGTTATCATGTAATTATCGCGCCATTCCCTCGTGTGTTGGCGTTCACAATTTGTTTTATTTATCGTCCGATTTACCTTTGTCGTGTATTCAATTTGAGTTCGTACGGAGCGACATTATAACAAGTGAGAATATATGACGACGGAATGATATATAATGCATTACTTGTTATAATAAAAGAATCATGTGTTACTAATGCGTTTCTCGATCCTCCGACGATTGGCCTACTAATCGAAATAATAATTCTCGCTTAAACCCGGCAATTATTGCCATCAGAAAAGGATCGAACACTTAATACGACGTAATAAGTGTTCGGTTCAGTTTATCCCCGCCTAAAACTATTTCAACTTTTCGACCTTTTTTTCTTTCTTGTTGTCTGTTACCTACTCCACCATATTCCGAATGTTTATTGTAACCACAGCTGGCTTAAGACATTCAGACGTTGGTGGGCCAGAATTATATGAAATTTAGAGATTACTGAATGTACACATTTAAAATTTAGAAGGGAAATTTTTTTTATTTATAATTAATTTCTTTCTTCGTAAATAATAAAGTAAGATTAAAGTTTCGGCGAGATGATACTTTTAAAATTATTTATAGGATGATTTGCGGGATTATACTCAGCAATGGTTATTTGGTTCGAATAAAAAGAAACAAAAAAGAGAATTAATGATCCAAAATATGTGTATGAAAAAATATTTAGTATTTTAGTACAATAAAGTGATAATGAACGGCGCGTTTGTGGCCCACTTATTCAATGATTAAGACAGCTTTCTGCTTGTATAACCCTTATAATTTTTCGACATAACAAATCGAAAGGTTCACAAGGACTTTAAGGACCATCTTGTACGTCTCACCACCACCCGTCTTATTGTGTGTGGAGGCAAGATTTCGGAAAATAAAACACGTTACGTGATGCCGAAATTTTTCGACACAGCGCATCCACGACGAATCTTTTTATTGTCTACTATGGCTATATTGGAGCCCCCTATTTCTCTCCCCCGACCCTTCGAGATTTGTTGTTTGAAATTTTTGCATGCGTTCACTGGAAAAAAAAAACTGATGTGATAACTGTCGATGACCTGGAATGAGTCCTAAAATCGAGGATATTGAAAACACCCTCCGACACGTCACGTGACCTCGACACCCACCCCCTTTTGCTAACTTCCCCCTGCCTGCTGGTGTGCCAAACTGTACAGTCATGGAGAGGGCGATCTTCGAGGGTGACTACGGACGCGGCAGACACGGATATTACAGGTAATGTTGAATTTGTCAATTTTAAGACTAACGAAATTAACATTTAACTGTACACGACATTTAGCTGTAACACGACACACGCCATCCATGAATTACATTCCGCAAATAAGCGACTTGAAGGCGACAATTTTTCTGTCGATGGAAAAGGACTGCGGTCTCCTTTTTATCATGTAATGTGTATAATTTGTTCATGTACGTTCCAAAAAGAACTCAGGGGATTAATAACATTTAGCTGTGCATTGCGCAACACGACACTCACGCCGGCCACGAACTGCATTCAGCAAACGAGCGATTTACGTGTAGCAGTTTCTTCCGTTTGTCGATGGAAGAAACTGCGGTCTCCCTTTTTGCCATGTAATGTGTAAAATTTGTTCATGTACATGTTCATGTCTCCAAAAAGAACTTAAAGGGATCGTGGAGCCTCGTCTGTTTTACAATGCGCGCGCGCACATTTCAACTACATGAAATGGAATTATAAAAAATCTCTACTTTTTAAAATATCTTCCAAGGAACATACTAAATCAAGAGAAAGTAAAAAAAGACTTTATGAAAGTCTTGATGGTTTTTTTGTTACAAAATTTGGCTTTTTATTGACATTAAGAATAAAATTAAAATTATTCCGATTTTTCGTTGACTTCTGTGTGTTCCATGGATACTCTTATACAATTTATTATATATTACACACTTCATTCATTTAGAATCTACGATTTGTATGTAAATATCTCGCTCTTCAAGGATTTATCGTAATATATTTGTTTGTTCCACACACACATAAATACACACACACACACACACACACACACACTACATATGCTTGTTTTCACAATGTCCCAGATATTAATACTTAATCTTTTCTCTCGTAATTAAGCGCGTTGCTCACACCGCTGCGCTAACGCATCGCCAAGGCTTGCAACGATTTAGCGACTGCAGTAGAATTGGACAAAAGGCGCGTGGCTTGCCGTAGCTGAGCCAGCGAGGATGACTTGGCGTGGTGAAATAATCGATGTTACCCTCGTATGATTGCAGTGGCACCGGCGGTGGTCTCGCCGAAATAAAGCTCGAGGGGACGTAGGGCGAATCTGAGAGACACCCAATCAGCCGCAGCCGAGAAATCGGCGACCCACAGCACACTACACTCTCGAGCTGCTTGAAGGGACTGGAGACGTCTTTACTTAACAGCCAAAAAAAAACTGAATATTTCCCGAGTGAAACCACAAAATATATTCCCCTCCCACCGACCCAACACGCACCGCAATAAGCACCACGCATACATGTGCACGCGCACGTTCGTCTGCGTGGCGATCGGCATCCAAGATCGATCTCCCGCGGGATGACGAAGAAATAGAAAAGAGAACGAATGTACGAGTGTAATTTTATGGCGATCAGATTAACTGCGGTATTAATCGCAGTTGCATAAAGACCTCATTCACTTTTGATCGATATTGTTGTGTTATTATGCGCCAGTAGGTTCCATCTAACGATGTTATGATTGTGATGATAAGTAAATAAGGATATTGATTTTATTCGAATCGCGTCAAAAGGTGTGTTTCAATTTTATTCGTCATTTTTCCGTTACCGAAAGGGTAGCTGCTTGTTACAGCGCGAGAGACGCATCGGAACGCAATATTCCTTTACAGAAGGGGATAGTTATGTGTACGTCGGTCAATCGACGTTGATTTAAAACTACAGCGATCTCATGACCATTCCTTTTTACAAAGGAGATCCGTACATTCGTTCCAACCAGTCGCACCCAATTAATCCGAGGACCGATCGTTTCAGATCGCCGAAGTCGAGAGGAAGATGCCGACGCAGTGCCGGCTCGAGAGCTAAAAACGTCTGGCTGTTCAACATTTTTTTTCCTTCCCTTTAGTTCGCCACATAGGTCTCCGCCGCTCGTTAATCGTTCTCGTGTGTATTATGTTACAGTAAATGAGGTGGTCGTCGACAAGTGGGCTCAGTAAATGAGTGGGTCGTCGACAGGCGTGAATCCACACTCCGTCGCCACCGAGCGCGCGAGGCAAAAGCTCAACCCGAAAATTAAAAAAAAAGCCCAAACGAAAGAAACTAAAAAGATGCAAAGACGAACGAACAAAAACGTGAAATAACCGGCGCGCTTGTGCTCCGTAGAGCGCTGAAATAACAGAAACGGCAGCAGCAGCAGCAACGCACTCAATAACCACTTAGCTACCTGCCAACCTGCAGTTCGGGGATCCTCCTTCGTGCCCGGGACTCCCCCGATCGCTGAGTAGATGCGCTGTACCGTCTCGCCGCCGCTGCTTTTATTCTTTTCCATCTTCTCTTCTCCCTCTCCGCAAGATCGCTGCGCACGAGAGGTCGTTCGAGTCGAGTTCGTCATCCCGAGGCTGACGAAAGCGAAGCGAACGAACGGCTTTGGGGAAATTCTTCGTCTTCGGTGTCTGGAGCCGCATATTAACGTTCTTAACTCAACGACTGTGCCTTCTTAGAGCCGATTACGCCAAGGTCGGTCAGCGTTAATCTCGATCGAACCACTCTTTCTCCTTCCTGTTCGTGCAAGGTGTCATTTGCAGTCGCGCTCTAAAATATAAGACTTTATCGGCGTTTTATTACTCTATTATAGTCATGATTATTTTTATTATTATTGATAAAATAATAATTTTCAAATTACTTTTTCTTTAAACGATTAGAAGAAACTGATGTTAGTCGAAATCTGGAATAATTGGAAGGACCGAAATCTTTCCTTTCACATTTAACACCTTGTATGGGACAGAACTTGGGTAAAAGATCAGCTGACTCAAACCGTCGGTGCAACTCAGCCTTAGTTTCCTACCCGAGCGAGGAACGATGCGATATAACTGCTCGCGAGAAAGTAGAAAAGCGCTGCCTTGTAATCCATTTTTAATCCCTAACGCCTCGGGCGCGTATTAACGCACATAACGTAATCTAATCGGCCACGCATTCCTCTTTCTCCTAAATCCAAGTAATTGTAAATCAATCACATGCTTCTGAAAAATATTCCGAAAGTAATCAGACAGCTTTATTAAAGACGACAGCTTGCCCGAAAGTCTTCGAGTGAGATTTAGAGTAAAATCGTATTCGATATGCAACGACCGAAAAAGAGTCAATCGATCTGCTCGAGAATCTCATTAATAAAAAAAAGACAAATCAAAACGTTTGCCTTTAACGTATTTAGGTTTGTATCTCGTTTCATCTCGTCTCTTTTTCGCCCTTCTCTCTCAATTTTCAGACGTACTATTTTTCTCCTTATTCTTCTCACCTATTTTCCGCGTCGCTTTATCGATATGGTGTTCTACTTGTTTTCTCTTCTCTATTTTTCTCTTTTTTCTCACATTTTTCTTCCTTACTCTGTTTTTCTTTTTTCCGATATAAAGATCTCGCTTAGCGATACGTTCTTCCTAACAAACCTAACAAACTCGACGCGACGGTCGTGTCCTCGACTATACAGGCAAATAGAGACAACAATCTACATTTTCGATCGAAGCTGAGCCAACTATTGTACGTTGAAGCAATTTTCGTCTCTCAATATATATACACGAAACCGGTTCTATTAATCTGTTTCTGAAAACGTAAGCTATCGATCCATCACTTTGCTCTAACATGATTAATCGACTTTTGTCCGATAGTGAAGATTGTTGCCTCGAAATTCTTGTACATCTTCTATAGAGGCGCAAATTGTATCGTCCGAAGCAATCAATCCGCTGGATTGAAACGAAAATGGTCCCTTTTTATCGGGAATTCCCTTAGCTTTCAAGACGCTGTATCCTACCTGCGATACGAGAGAGAATCCGCGTAGAGATTAGATATCCAATCGCAACGCGGAGATTAGGTGCCCGGTCTTCCCTATCAATCACGAACGACGGAATCCTCCGTAGCTTGGAACGTCCGGTTCGATGAGAAAAAGACCCGTCACTCGTACCTGGAACGCTCAATGATACCACAGTCCGTCCGCGCGCGCTCGCGTTTATCCTGCACACAGTCGCGAGAGAGAGAGAGAGAGAGAGAAAAAGAAAGAGTCCTCGACAGTCTTGTACATGCTGAAGAGAAAGAAAGAGAGTGAGAAATTGTGTGCGTGCGTGTGTATGTGTGTATGTGTGTGTGTGTGTCTATCCTCATCGCGCAAAACGAACGAGGAACGAAGGAACCTATTCGCGCCGTTCTGGGTCTCCGTAAATCCTTCGGGGATGCAACTCACCGCTGCCAAGTCAAGACAATCACCGCGCGGCGAAGATGCACGTCGGAGACAGCCGGACAGTGGGAACGAAGGAGAGGGTTGACCAGAGGAGGTCGTTTGACTCCTCGAAGCGACTAGACGAGGGTGTCGAGTGGTGCCTCTGCGAAAAAAACGAAACGAAGCGACGACGGTTTCGAGCAGTGACGTAGCTTCCGCGACTGGAGGCTGTCGCGATGAAAGCGAGTTTAACTGTGCCTGCGTGCCGGTGACACGGCGATGCACGTCCGAATGACCACGAAGCAGCGCCGAGTTACCGCTGAAGCTCCTTTCGCATGAGCCACTCTATCCACGCGAAGGTGTTCCTGAAATACATTTTTTGGAAGAAATTATCACCTTGAAAAAAAAAACTTTTCCCTCCCTTCTTTCCAATCTCCGCGCACAGACGGAAGAGATTGTCACGAAAAGTGAGCCATCAAGAGAGCGGCTCGTGCGAGAAGGAATCCAGCGAAGCGAAGAAGGCTCTCCTCCGGATACGCACGAAACTTACGCCACCGGAGAATCCAGTAATCTCGCGAGAGTTTAAGTAGTTATTGTAAATATCGCGCACGCGACGATATATAACAGAGGAGAGATATTCTACATAAATACATATAGTTATATACATAAACACATTATATATATTTTTTTTCGTGAAGAAGCGCACAGATGGACGCGTCGTCGCTGCGGACGATAATAAATTATTGTTATTGATAATATATTACTACTATTATTATTATTATCATCATCGCTACTCTTGTTAGTATTACTGTTATCATTGAAAGGCGTCACTGGTTTGGTGATATACTGTATATTGTACGGCGGAAGCGCGAAACCTTCCGAGGACCGGGCTTCGAGCGAGAAGGATTCAAACTGCTGAGGCTCATGGGGTTTTTTCTTTCCTTGTTTATATTCATACACGGGTTGATCGTTCTTCGTGGTGACATTAGAGGCGGAAATAGCCACCTCGCGGCGTTCTGATTGTTACTTAGGGAGAGATAAAGAAAGAAAGACAGAGAGAGAAAGACAGACAGCTATCTTTCCTCGCTTCGTTGAGTCTTCTCGGCTTTTTCTCAATTAAGACTGACGAGAGTTCTCGTTGCGATAAGGTAATTAATATCTGACCGTAGACATCATTAAACGACCAGCCATCGCGAGCATAGTCTCATCCATAGACTTCCCTCAGAGAAATATAATTTAATACTGAAAATTATTTATTCTGACTATTAAAAGCACTAAACAACAGTACTTTTATTACTCAAAATAAATAATTAATCTTCTTTTCAGTATTAAATTTCTATAAGAGTTATATAATAGATTGCGCGTTTCCATTGGAGACGTGAAGACAACATTAGTAACAGAGAGTTGGTGTCACAAATGTTTTCCTTGTTCATTTGTACAATATATAACGGAAAGAGAGAGAGAGAGAGTAACAAACCATTCATATCTCAATTTTTTATGTGTTGTCTTCAGCTGCCACATATAAATGCGCAATTTATTGTGGGCGTTTTTCAGCATTAGGAACACAATGTAACACAACGAATCACGTTCTTAATTGTTACTTGCTAAACAAGAATGAAATAATTCACACTGCTGGAAAACGCCCTGTATAAGTCTATGGTCTCATCTTTTCGCAAGAGAGATCTCGTTCTCCGGTCGTTTCACGTCTCCAAAGATTGATTTTAGACTTGCATGAAACCATAGACATAATAAAAATAAACTGCATTCCTGAAGTTGTCATTATTGGTTTAAAAGAAGTGAGCTTGAAGCATATCGCTCTTCTCTCGCTCTCTCTTTAAAATATCGATTTAAAGAGAGATGCTGATAGAGTCGAAAGGAGATGCTGATATGTTCAATTTTTTTTAATTGCATAGAAGCTAAGATCAGGGAATACTTAGTATATACTATATTATGTCTATGTTCGAAATGGACAAGTGATAACATCGTTCGATGTCACAAGCCGGAGTTGGATTTATCATATTTGCGAAACTCGTCCGCAAATGTGATTGTTGCGTGCTCGAGATACGCAGCGGACGGAGTTGTCGAGGCGCGGCTTTGGCTACTTTCTCGTTACGGTTTTGCTCCCGACGTTATTATCGTGTGTTGACACCTCTAGTGGTATTACGTCCCCGGATTTCCTGAACTTTTCTATTTCTCTTTTTCCCTCCGGTCTCTTAATCCCCCTGGTACTTACTTGTCATTCTTTTGCCTCCATTCTCGTCGCAGCCCGCGCGTTCTTCGTCTCACATCTCACCGGATCGTCATTTCTCACCCTTATATTATTAAATACATAACTTAGCAATTAAGAGTTTTAACGACCCGCGACGCAAAGGTTTATAGGAATCGTCGCCGATAGGACGCGAGATTTCTGGTCGACTTTAGCTCTCGGCATAAAAGTAAAGCCCGCGGCACACGATGCTTATTTTCCTGCTTACGTTTTAGTAAATTACTAGAAGTTCTGCGTTCTGTGTGATGTAGTTCTAGTGATTTAAAACGCGAGCAGTCCAGCAGGAAAACGAGCATCGTGTATCGCAGGTTTTAAGATAAGTAAGAACTCGCGCGACGCGAGTTCCTGTCGGCGCCGACGAGCTAATCGCGCGCCGATGGGAATCGTCGTCACAAACAGTGTGTCTGTGTGTATATATATGTATATCATTATGTACATTATATCTGTTACATATTATGTACATACGTATATGTATATATATATATTTATTTAAAAAGAGGGCACTTGTCCGTGCCTGATAAAATTGCTCCATACATACACATCGCTCGCGTCATTCTAGTCGGTATATGTATGATATGTACGTATCGATGCGGACGTTTACTGATTACATCGGTACGTATATAGATACGTTTATCAATCGCCCATCCTGTAATTAAAGCTCATCATTTTTAATGTATGTGAACTATTGTCGTGGCGTGTAATATTCGTACTTGTATAAAGGTAATTTCGCCCGCGTTAACGCTCCAATCGTTCTCGCTCGAATCGTCCACGTTGGAGCATATTCTTAAGAACGAATTTCATTATTTTCTTCGAAAAACGGTGACAAACCTTGCATATTTCTAATGTACGCCGACAGCTCTGTACGAATAAAGGTTTGGAAGTAATTTCACTGTCCTGCCTTCATTCCGTCGTGACCCTTTTCTCGTAAAAGGTTTCTTCATTTGATTTAGCATCTCTGGCTGTTATCTGTTAAGAAAAAGATCTCAATTGCTTGTTCTTAAATGCGATTCTATTTATATTTAGTTTGTGTTTATAATTAATAAGAGAAATGAATCATTAAATTAACATTACGTTTGAAATGAATAATTTAATTTGTTCGTAGAACTGTAAATTTGATATAAATTATGATATAAATCGCAGTTTCACTTTTTTAAAAAGTAGGATATTAATTTATTAATGTATAAACAATGAATACAAAAACGAATTAAACGAGAAATCTCCTATATAAATATTTAAAGAAACTGAAGCATTATTCATAAGGTGAAAGTGTTAAATAGTTATTATAGAAGCAAGACTCATTTAAATAAGTCAGTCAGTTGTAAAAATTTTGTGTCGTCGCAAGCACACCTTACATGTGATCTACATATTTGGCGCCTTACTTATTTTGCTGTTGTAAGATAATTTTAGAATATGTTTCGCGGAGACAACACGGCCACTAGCTCATAAATTTCCCGAGCGGAGTAAATAAATTTTCTTCGTCTGGTTAAAAAGCAGAAGCTAAAATAGTGCAGTTCGCGAATCGTACACGGCGGGCTTATTACTACTTTGCATTGCAAATCTAAATTGTTTTCAGCGACTGGGGGATGATGCGGTCTTTGAGGATAAAGCGCAAGATACATGGTGCTATGTATGTAACATATTTCAACTTTTCTACGAAACATTGCATCGCAAATAGCTACAGCACTTCGTTTGAAGTACAAGGCGTAGTGTTTCTGAAATTTTTCAAAATAGTTATATGATTTCTTCATGTTTACTTTATTATGCTATTGTGTTTATTTCGCGCAGGCGTTCCAATTATGCATTTGTTTACGGACTGTAAAGCTTAAACCAAAAATTAATCGATAATTGAAATACTTTTAATATTAAAGATTGAAACTAGAAAATAGAAAATTAAAGAATCATTTTTCAAGTAGGTTACTTAACTACTTATGTATTAGTGATTACTGAACTACCTATGTATAAGTAGGTCGCTAAATTTGTTTCTCGGTTAATATTTGCTAGACTTTATTCAAGTTTTGTACTTTTTAAATTTTCTTGAAACTTATGAATTCTTTAAAATTGCAAGCTTTAAGTACGTGAAACTTCCAGTTTTTGAGAACGCACAATACCGGATCTCTAGATTTTTAAGTTTTATATTCCGGAAACTTTCAATCTCTCTCCTTAAATTTGAGAGTCTCAAAACTACAATATCTGCAAATATATGTATCTTTTCCTAGCTCAGGAACGTGACATATTTATAGCCTTCAATTTCTCTGAAAGTTAATTTTAGCACTTGTGTAAAACTCTTTGAAGACAACTTGGATCTTTATTTTAATCCATTTAGATTTTAATCTTTTAATTTTTTTTCATATCTTTTGACTCGATAATTCTGATTTCATTTAATTTGATTTCATTTAATTAAGAGCCATTTAATTTCATTTAATTAAGAGCCGCACCACTGGCTTTCTCACTATCTCAATAGCTAATTCTAGGATCTTCATCTTTGTCTCACGTCGTCGGACGTCATCAGTGCACTCTTCGCGTAAAATCGCAGATTATTCCGCGTACAAATCCTCGCACAAATCTTCACAGCGAAAGCAAGTTTTGTCTCGTGAAAAAGTAGATATCAAAATGATGCACTTCGCGATTCGTCGTAAGATAGGTTCCGCATTATAAATTCAAATTGTTTTCAGCAATCATGAGACGATACGAACTTTGAAGATGGAACGCGAAACGTACATTTTCATTGCACATATATTTCAGTTTCTCTGTGAAACGTTCCGCCGCAAATACATTCTTGTTGTCTACATTTGAAATTTAACGCGCGGTAGAGTGCAACATTACTGTAACACTTTTCACCTTAGTTATATATCTTCTCTTATTTTGTGCGATAGATAGCGTTTGTAATCTGAAATACTTTATTGCCGATCAGAACCGATCAATTAAAAATTAAAAGTTTAAATTAATGAATAAGTAAATTAAATTTTTAAGAATTAGGCAAATCATTGACATTGTTTCGTTTTTCATTTTGAAGCGTTCACATAATTATTATAATGTGAACTAAAAAAATATAATATTGTTAATTACATTAATATTGGCAGTATTAAAATTATGAAATTAAATATAAAGTTATATATATTTTTATATTATAAAAAAAATATTTAAATTTGAATAGCCACAGTAAAAATTACTTTAATTTTTGCATTTTCATCCGATATATATTATTGATTCTATAATTATTTAAATATTTTTCTTTCACGTTGTGTGTGTGTGTGTGTGTGTGTGTGTGTGTGTGTGTGTGTATTATAAAAACATGAAGACTAAAATTCGCAATTATTCCATCAAATTTCTGATAATATTTCTTAATTAACTCATGTATAGGTAAAAAGATAACTAGGAGACTTATATAAACCATAAATAATTAATTAAAATTTAATTTAACTAAAATTCAGTACTGAAGTTCCAGTATATACTTGCGAATTTTGAAATTTTTGTTTTAATTTTCTTATCTTTAATTAATTGCATCCGCGAAATCAGATGCGTTGCGATTAATTTCTCCATGATTACGAAGAGTTGAAAAATTGTTTTCTGAACCATCACGTTCATTTTGTGTGTTGTCGAGTTATATTTGTTTTATGCATATAGACCGCAGCTGTGTTTGTCCACTCAAACGCGATTGCAGTAGTACATGTCTACCTATTTTCAGCCACAGTAAAATACAGCCATATGGTAGATATATCTGCACTCGGACATAACTTTTACATAGGCAGATATTCAAGAGCCGCTGCATTTAAATTTATTTCTGGAGATATTAATTAATCCACATATGTATTAATTAACAATTTTTTCATCAGGTATCACGTTACAGTATGATTTTTAGCAACAATTTATAATATATATATATTTCATATATATCATAATTATTAGAGAAATTTATAATGTATATATATCGTATATATCGTAATTATATGAGAAATTTATAATGTATATTATATATTCATAAATTATGTATTAGAAGAAAATTCATAATTATATACTGGGGCTTTTGAAGTAAATTTTTAATTAAATTGAATTTGATTAATTAACATAATTGATAACTATTTTTATTAATTATTTATGGTTTGGGACATTATCTATATTACATATAATTAAATAATGTCACCAAAAATTTAATGGAATAAATTGAAAATCTTTATTTTTATATTTTTATAATAAAAAATCTATATTTTTATAATAAAAAATTTTTATATAATTGTGTATGATTATTGATTGGATGAAAATAATTTATATACAGCCGATTAGAATTCAGACAGATTTTTTATGATATAAAATAAAGTATATCTAATATTGATACATCTTATTAATCAATTAAGATAAATAATTTTATTTTCGGTCAAAGGTTGATAATATTTATGTGTAAATTGCAAATACATTTTTCAGTTTTATAAATTGCTCGCTAAGTTTAATTTCTAATTACAATTGTGTACATCTTATCAACGGTGATTTTAAAATTTCAGTAATATTGCACGGAGATATTAACGTATAATTCACAATATGAATAATTAATAATTACATACATTGTAGATGTCTTTCAAGATATTTCTCAAATTAATCTCACTGAAATTATATAATACTATTCTTGATGTGTGCATTATGTCTCATGAAAAGTTTAGTTTTTTACTTGCTTTTTCAAAACTAAATATAGTTTAATTAACCGCATGACTTTGGCTAATTCCTAGACTAATACCGTCGTAGTGAATAACATTACCTTAGGTTCACACTGGTCGCATCGCTGGAGCGTTAAGTCAAGTTAATCGTGATATATGACATGTTGAGCATGTGGAGAAGTTGTCTCGCCCATACTGAGTTACATCCTATATCTTCATATGTGTCGGCTTACCTTTAGGTAGAACACACATCGAAACGGATAGTATATTGTTTGCTTACAACATACAGATAGCATTTTGCTTGTCCAAGAATACTTTATCAGAGGTTTTCAAAATTTTTATACTTTATATCTATGCAATCTTTATTTATAATTCTATAAAATTATAATATTAGAATTCAGGTGAATTTAGTATTTATTTAAATATTAAATATTACACTTATTTAATTTATTTAGATCAAATTTATAACTTATTTCAATTTAATCAGATTAAATTTAAATTAAATTGATTTAAACGCAATTAAATTTAATTAAAAAATCATTGCGAAGATATGCCAGTAAAAAAATACTTGCGTAAATTATATTATATACTTTATTTTCTTAATTTAATATTACAAAAATCTTAATGACTGATTGTTCTCTATAAAATTTTAAAATAATATGTTAATCTAAAAATTATATTGGCTGTTAATTGAAAAATATTATTGTAGTTCTGTTCTGTTTCTATATTATTATATTGCTTTTATAGTTTTTTAAATATGATATAGATAGTGCGATCAATCGGTGTGGATGTAGCTTTACATCTAAAACGCGATCAATACGAGTGCATACACATATAGTTTTGCGTGCGTAAAATGTTTGAAACTACATGTTGGGTTCGAAGTCAAAATTATACGAGACGATAGACATTTGCATTAATGCGTTCGCCAAGTGAATATTAATATAATTGAAGAGTATCGCAGTAGTTATATACGTAATGCCTAAAATGGGCTGCAAGCATTTTCGTCAAGTTGCATTCCATCAAATAATATCTTTGAGAGAAATGTATGATCATTGTAATTCTATCGTATCCTTGCGTATCCGGTAATAAGCAAACGTTTGAAAATTATTAGTACATCATGGAATAAACCTACTACATGATGAACTATTCACAAAGCTTTCACGGTTAATACAATTTCCGCAATACTGAACGTTTATGGAACTTTGAAGCTTATTTAACAAAAAAGTTGAATAATTTAT